TCAGAGTCATTAGTTACTAGTTTGCCTGTTAAAGTTAGCAAAAATTAACTTGGGTAATTATGTAACTGAAATTTACAAATAGTTTAAATGTTCACTGACTTTAGGAAATCAAAATATATAATTGGCTAGGACAATTTTAATTCCCAAATTAATGGGTTGCCCATAAGGTTAAGGATTTGTTAAAATGGATTGACAATTGCATTGCTATTTTTTTTAGTCTGTGATTATTTGATTGATGCATATGTGATTTGCTTACTAACCCTCTGTTGACCTAATTTTCTGAGTCTTGTCTTGTACTCTATAATTTCAACAGCAATCATAGGTGATAATTTGCAAACTCCTTGTAAGGGTCACTACAGCTTAACCGAGATGGCAGCATATCATTCTCTATTGGGCAAGACCATCTCAGACTTTGCTGCTCATGAGGCAGGTTTGAGTGGGGCTGAGCTAGATATATATGTCTCTGATTTGTTGAATGCCAAATCTCAACTAGAAGCTAATGTAGGTGTCCAAGGGAGGGAAGTAGATTCTATAGATTGGTTTTTTTAGAAGTATAGAAATGGGCCAGGCTTGCAAATTCACAGGTATTAAACTGCTAGAGTGTGTTGCAGAGAAGGTCAAGGAAGATTGGGAGTGGCAACTGGAGTGTGTCCAGATGGAACAGCGCGCACAAGCGAAAGGTTTTAAAGAGGCGGTTGAACATGCTCAGTGGAACCAGAAAGCCTTTGCTGGCGAGCCTTCCCGAGAATTATGGATGTTCACAACCCCAAAGCCAGACACTTCCATGTCAGCCAAAAATGCCATGTCCAAATACTAGTATCAGTCACTTAGGATCAGTAATTGAAGAAAGAACCCTTACCCCACCAGAATCTGGAAGTGAAAACCCTGGTAGAGAATGTGAGATCCTTGGCAGCTGTCAAGAGATCAAAACTAGTGAGCCTGCGGCTGCAGTGACCACTAGTGGGCTAGCTACCACAAAACTTGAGTTAACTCAGGGTGGTGATTTCTGTCAAGATGGTCATTCCTTGGCAGAAATAAAAAGTGTTATTCCCAAAACCAACCCCATTTTAGATAATATTATTGTATCTAGAAGCTTGCACAGCAAGGAAACTTTGAAGAAGGTAGGTGGCGAGACAGAAGACTTCAGCTCCACGCTGCAGATAGTATCTTGTAAAGCGGAGTCTGTTTATGTCCATGCTCCCACTACTTATTCTCACACGCAGTCAGTAGAAAGTCATGTGCTAGTTAAAGACATAGATTTTTCCAGTAAGTCGAGTGATATCCTAGAGTTTACTGAGAGAAGCAAAAATGCATCTCAGTCCTGCTTACAAGTTAGGGAAAAAGAGTCTCAGGCCTTAGATAAGTCCTTGAGGTCTCAAGGTATGTTGTTGTGTCCCCTCAGAATCAAGGGCCAGCACAACTTTGACTACCAAGAAAATGAGTCTCATGCTTCTGAAAAGCCACTGAGATCTCAGGGGTGTCAGGGTATGTTGTGTCCCCTCAGAATCAAGGGCCAGCACAACTTTGACTATCCAGAAAATGAGTCTCAGGCTTCTGATAAGCCAGTGAGGTCTCAGGGTATGTTGTTGTGTCCCCTCAGAACCAAGTGCAAGCACAACTTTGACAACCCGACGACTGCAAATAAGCAGGTCATGAGAGACCAAAAGTCTCGCATCTTGGTCCAATCCAAGATGAGCCAACCAAAGCATTTGTGGACACCTCTTCTGAAAAGAGTTGTGTGTTTCACCAAGACTAGACCGATAGCTAGGCAGACTGCTAAAAAGCTAACTAGGTCTACTGAGAACCCCTTAAAGAGTAAACTCCTTAAGCTCAGGTCTTTTGCCAGTTTAGTTAGGACCATTAATGATCCCAACCCTAAATCTGGTGAGGCTTATGCCAAATCCTCTGCAACCAGGCCAGAAACTTCAGTCTGTGCCAGTGCAGCCAAGAGGAGGAAGAACCCTTCCTTTACTTCATCTTCAGATGAAACCCACAAGACCCAGTCTACGGTTGAGACTGTAGGGTCTGTACACTGTCGTAAGCAGCGCTTACCTTTTCTTCCATGTAAATCCTCCCAGATAGTTTCATGGATAAGACGCACTCAGACAGGTATTTTGAACATTGAACTGATCTTTCCTTCATGCCATCTTTTCTTTGTTAAGATTGTTTCTATTCAGAGAAGCGGACAGTCCGCCTTGACTTTCTCTGGGAAAAGACTTTGGTATGTTAGTCGCAGTCGGTCATATCCGCTGGGACGGGGCTACAAATCCCAGTCAGTTGTTAAGGAGAAATTTTTTGTTCCTATTGAGATCCCATAGCAGATTAATTAGGGGATAATTTAGCAGGTGGATTGTAGGTAGCAGAAACAGTATCCAGGCCAGTTTAAGTTTGATATGTAAATATCAAACTTATCTTCGTTGGGCATATGTGACGAGCTGGTCTGGACAGCTGTTTCTGTCCTTTTAAAAAGTGCTTTGTTTAGATAATATTATTACCAAAGTTCTAAACATTTTCCTATTGCTTTTAATTAGCATAATAACACTGGATTAATTAAGAAATTTCCTTACCTTTTTCTTAATGCTTTATTGTAGCAAAATTATAATTAAAGAGTTGAAAGGTAATATAGGCGAAGAGTAGGGCAAGGGGGACTGAAGAGTTACTTCCTCCTGACTTCCTGTTCCCTTTTCAATTCAGAAATTGACCGGTTCAGACTAAAGTTCTTAGTCCGCCTGTGGTCCAATTTTCTGTTTGAATTCCCTGCCAGGGGTGAGTTAAAAGAATAAGTTTAATTTGATGTATTGCTGCTTATTCCTCTGAATTAATTCCACAGGTTAAATTCTGGAATTTAATGCCCACATGGCTCAACAACTATGATAAATTTCTTTATCCTCACTAACCACGTTTATGATCTAGTATGTACATGTATGCAAACATATTATCGATTTGATGATTGAATTAATGTTTATTTGCTACTAGAAACGTGCATTGGTATTTTTAATAATTATACTTATATTAATTAAGTGATAATTATGTCCTCATGTGAAATCTCAGCCAGTTCCGGTTTCCAGCATGGTAGACAATTAAAAAGGAATGAATTGTATATTCATTATACCTAATCCCTTCTAAGTTGATTTTACCTCATGGTGATATTAGCTTAATAAATCACTGTCTTGCTTTAATTTAGATTTAGTCCAGATAATTTTGAGACTAGTTTAAGAGCTTGGAAAGTGAATAACACAGTGAGGCTGAATTTAATATTCACACTGTCAGAGAAGAAGAAGCAGAAAAGAGATGTATGGCCCCTGCTTGTAATTATTATTGTTGTAGATATATTTCCCTATTACTAGGAATACATTTCAGTTCTACAGCAGGTGGCCTTACAAATGTAATAATTATATTTCACCCCTCACCACTTCTAAACTCTGCTGAATAAGATTAGCACATGTGTGGATTTAGATTTAAAACTGGAGTGAGTGTTGTATATTTTATGTTAATACTGTGACAGATGGAAAGCCCATTGTCATCTATGATTGTATTTTGACATCTATCCCAGCACCCAGTATATTGATGGAGATATGTCAATCCCATTTGTTTTCAAACAGTGCAAAGCACCTGTTATGAGTTCCTGGTCTTGGTAAACTCACTCCCTGTTTCTCATTCATTGTGATGTGAACCCATGTGGTTAAAAGGAGAATATTGTGAAATATGACTGTGTATGTCTGTGTGTGTAAGCATGTTAACCCTTCAAAGGAGTACTAGTGTGCAGACATCAGAACAATTTACACTGAGGAATGTCCTTTCCTTTTGTGTGCTGTAAACTCTGGTTCTTGAGAGTATTCATGAAACTGGTTTCCTAAATATTTCCCCATCAGGATTATGGACCATGTTCTGTACACATTCCCATTCTATACCAGTAGAATGTGAACACCTGTTTCTATCCTACTCCATATATATGTGTGTAGTGTAACAGTTTAAAGACTGGAGGTATTGTTGTCTCCAGTTAGAACCTTCCTGACTGTTTGTTTAAGGACTGTTCTATTGTTCTAGTTCCAGATTGTATTCCAGATGGTAGTCCAGAAGTAGATCCTAAGCTTAGCTGCAGATACCCGATTGTCCGGACTGGACTGGAAGATTCGGCCTGCCTGATGTGTTTCCGAAGCTTAGTCAGAAGCTGACAACAGAAACCTAAGCTACAGCTAAGATTTAACTAACCTACCTTGAATAACAGGATTTTATATCCACAGCCATTTTATTTAGTTATCATTTGAATTTTCAAAATAAATGTAGTTTTAATGTTCTTACAGTTTTCTGAAGTTTCATTGTAACTGTACGTGTGTCAGTGAACAAAAGCTAGTGTAATTTAAATACATTTAAATATACAATTAATTACAGCAGGGAATAAGATGTGGGCAAACCCCAAATCCTCTAATTTAACCAGCAAGGCTGGGGGTAATAAAAACCCCTATTAAGATTTACTGTTTGTTGTTCCCTATGTAAAGTGCACATAGTGCATTCGCTAGTTAAAGCGAAGTTACCCGCCACAGATACTGTGATCACAAGGGATCACCTTGTAATGGTTGTTGAGATACCTTTAGTAGAGAGACGACCAAAATTTTAGTTATATAGCGTACATAACATTCCCGTACCCATGAAAATTCAGCAAGAATCAGGTACCCCCCCCTCCCCCTCCCTTTCCCCATGACTGACTGAAATGGGATCGTTCGTAAAATGGTTCAATAAATGTGGGATTGTAGGGTGTATAACAAGTAATTAGTTTCATTCATTACAATGTACGTACGCTATATTGCTGTGTACAGAGGTACCGCGAGAACCTTCGTTAGCGGTATTATGGGATGGCTGCTGCATTGGAGGACTGAACATGCAGGGGATAATTCAGTGTGCAGTGAGGTCGATAGCGATAATGTAACATAGCTTAACATCAATGATGTGAACGATGCCCTATGATTACATTAATACATATCTTTTTTGTTTCCTAACAGGGGCCTTGTTTGAGCCTGAATATGAAGGTCAGTGGAGAGCCTTGAAGTGGGCTGTGGAGGACTTCAACCTCAATCCGGAAATTTTAAATCACAAGATTGTTCTCGTGGAGAGACAAACGCTGCCCCCACAAGACAGCTTTCTAGCACAGAAGATAGGTAAGTCTTTTATTATACTCCCTAAGACAGCTTTCTGACACAGAAGGTAGGTAAGTCTTGGATTATCATTCTCAAAACAGGTTCCTGACAAAAAAAAAAAAAAAATAAAAAAAAATAGACAGGTCTTCGATTATCTTCCACAAAACAGCTTTCTGGCACAGTCGATAGGTAATACACTCCCCAAGACACACAGAAAATTGGTAAGTCTTGGATTATTCTCACAAAGACAGCTTTCTGACACAGAAGATATGAACGTTTTGTATTATCGTTCCCAAGACAGCTTTCTGACACGGAAAATAGATAAGTCTTAGATTATCAATGTGAAAATGAATAATTTTCCACCTTCGGAACATCTAGTTTATAGTTAAAGTCCTTTTCCCATGGCGTTAGGCATTTTGGGTATATAGTGCTAGGCGTGTAATTTTTAGGTCAATCGGCACTCTATGGCGATGTAGTTAACATCACGCCGGCAGCCTTTGCTTCCCAGGACGGTACGTAGTACCCACTTAAGGCTGAATCTGCCTGAGAGCTGTCAATGATGAAAAAAAAACATCCGAAACGATGCAGATTTCCACCCAAACCTAAAAACCCACAGGCGAGCGTCCCTCGAGTATACACTTCTATACTTATATTTTGCTTGGACCCATAGACAATTAAAAAGTGATGTGGGTTAATCATGCCGGTCGCATTTACATCCCAGGACATTACCTGGTACCAGCTTTAGGCTAGGTTGACCTGAAAGGGAAAATACATTTTCAAAACGAGAACTATGCCTCGATGATCCTTTGATCTTCAGGCCAACAGAAGAACACGTAGCAATCTATGATACCACAAAGGCTTACAATTTCAGATAGGAAAGTCTATTCATCACTTGTATTAATCAGCAAGTACTTTACAGAACGTCGCACTCGTCAGGGCCGTGTCAGAAATTCTTTCTTCAGCACTATATACGTTCACAGTCAATGCATCTTCAGTGTATTGTATCCACATTCACGGAGGGCTGTCTTAGACTCGTTTTGTCGTATAACTGCAACCCTGGTCACCGTTCCCAAGACACTAGTCATTCCGCTTGAGCCTAGGGAAGAAGGGGGGGGGGGGGCGCATATGACAGAGGTCATAGCTCACCATGTCTGGCGGCGGGATGTTGTTTATGAGACAATTCTCCCTAATACTCAGATCACGCAGGCTTTTGGCTTTTCTTCTTATTGAATTTCAAATAGTTAGTTAGATTAGATTTTTGCTAACATTCATAGATGTAATTCAATAACAGTGACATTTCCAAGCGTTCGATTGCCTGTCAATCATTTTCTTATGGTCATGGTTTCGAATCCTCCTCGAAAAGAATTATTATGTAATGACCGTGGCTCCCATGTCGATCAGAGTCTCAGCGTGTACCAGGTTGTATAATGGAAAGTAAAGTCAATAGTTTGGTTGACGACATCATCCACCGAGTAATTTTTGGTTTTCTATCAAAATATGAGTTTGGCATCATATGTACGATGCGACACTGGCATAGAAAGGGCCCTTTACTTCACGTACTGTTATCTACATTTCATAGATAGATAGATATATTTGGAATTGTAATACAAGAGTGGGATTGATGGTTATGTGAGAAAAAGATTACTAGATAGATAGAGATAAATGAATAGTTAGAGAGAGAGAGAGAGAGAGAGAGAGAGAGAGAGAGAGAGAGAGAGAAAGAGAGAGAGAGAGAGAGAGAAACCATATGAGAGACAGAAAGAAAGATGTTGCATAAGACCCTTTTCAACATGTGACATGAGAAAGATTAATGACAGAGGATGAAATAAATAAAGGGCTGGCTATGTGTGTGTGTGTGTGTGTGTGTGTGTGTGTGTGTGTATGTGTGCATGCGTGTGTATGTTTGTGTGTGCGTGAGACAGACAGGCCAGACAGACCAGACAGACAGACAAGACAGACAGACAGGCAGACAGACAGACCAGACAGACCAGACAGACAGACCAGACAGACAGACCAGACAGACAGACCAGACAGACAGACAGACAGACCAGACAGACAGACAGACAGACAGACAGACAGGACAGACCAGACAGACAGACAGACCAGACAGACAGACCAGACAGACAGACCAGACAGACAGACCAGACAGACAGACCAGACAGGCAGGCAGACAGGCAGGCAGGCAGACAGGCAGACAGACAGACAGACAGACAGACAGACAGACAGACAGACAGACAGACAGACAGACAGACAGACAGACAGACAGACAGATACAGGGGCGGAGTTTCCACGGAAGATCGTTATCAACATTTCAAAGTAGGTAAAAATAAAGTAACGGACCCTTTACCAAGGCTTTAGGCGTATT